TGTGTGGCTGTCCCGGAGGTTTCTACAGAGCCGGACAGGGGTGAGGGACAGAGTGCACTTAGGATGGATTTGAAAACATTTTTTCCCCCCTCGTTCTCAGCATACTAAAAGTCACGTCTTCTTTTCCATACAGTCACTGTTTAACAGGTTCAGGTTTCTCAGGCCAGTTTGTGGAGGGTGAGGAGGACGACAGTCTGTCTCCTGAGGCCTGCTACGAGTGCAAGATCAATGGAGGAGGAAAGAGTGGACGACACAGACGAAATGCTGACGAAAATGAGATCAAAAAGGTACATGCTTCTCAGTTTCTAAGTTGGGGACATTTGATTTTTCAAAGGAATTCAAATCAGAAATGTCAATATATTTTTTCCATCACTACCTGAGTGTGTTTAGTTTCTGCTACTTCATGTTTCACCGCTCTCCCCTTCTCCTTACTCTAGGATCCAGAAGTGAGTATGGCTAGCGTGGACACTCAGGACTCCATCCACATGAACCTCTCTCTGTCCGTCTTGCTTAACAAGGAGCCTCTACTCGAGCTCCTGCCTGCCCTGCAGCCCCTGGAAAAGCACATCCGCTATGTCATCACCCATGGCAATGCTAATGAACACTTCCGCCTGTTGGAACGCCGTGATGGAAAGAGTGTGCTCCGGCTTGGCAAGAGGCCGCCCCCACCTGGATCCTACCGGCTAGACATCGCCAGCTTGCGGCTTTTCGGGCCTCGCAGACTACACCAGCTGGAGGAGCAGCATGACAGTGACTACCTACAAGGGGAGATAGGAGACGCCCTGCGCATCAAGCTCCTCATCCACCTGCACTGAGCTCAGATCACGCTGGTCAATCCTGTCTTGGACTGATTCCTAGAGCCTTTGAGTAATAACCTGCCCTTCTATCCTATAACTCCCCCCTTGCAGGACCATCCCCTCCAACAGGGAGTAATCAAGGGCTACGAAAGACTGAGTCAATCAGCCCAAATCTACCACCACTTTGTTACTGTTTATGTTATTATATGTTCATGTTTTGTGTTTATTTTCTACTCTGACTACATTTCCTTTTGCGCCCCTCCACATGTACCCGACCCAGCACTCATTTTCCACTGAGAGAGCCAGTGGGGTAGATACAAGAGAGGTGCTTTTGTTCTTAGACCAACCACCCCGAAATGAATACAAAATGGCAGACAGATGGTTCACAAGTCCATGACGCACTGAAGCAGACAAACAAAAGGGTTTTTTTATTAGAAATGAAGTGCTGAGAGTGGCCCAAACTGTCTTTAAGTAACTAGAGTGGTCGTATTCAAATCACAGTACAGTATCTAGACAGATCTCTTTTCCTTCAGTGTTATAAAGAAATTATCTTCAGGCTTAAAAAAAGGGGGGGGGGGGTGCCATCATGGTGGTCTAAGGACTTTGTCACCTCTCTTTGGTTTAAAAATATCACAACACTGGGGAACAAGGTTTGTCCCCCTTCTCAGTATTGTAGTGTCATTTAATGTATTTGTGCTGTTTGAATAATGTAAACACGAAGGACTGCAACATTTACACAGCATTTCAGGTTCTTTAGTCCACAGCAGTCTGTTTTATAGCTGGATGCCAACCAATTTACAGATGAGAAAACAGCAAGCTGTGTTTCTCTCTTGTGACTGACTTCTGTCCTGTCTGCGGACAGCGGCAAGCAGGGATTAGAGTGTTTGCGTGTATGCGGTCATGTTTTGTTACCTCTCGCTCAGTATGGACACCATGCTGCAATGTTGACTTAGAAACAAAAGAGGGTGCTAGAGTCGCTCAGCATCCATCATGAGCAGGGAACACAGCAGTAAGTAGCTCTTAAAAGACAATAGATCAGGCGACTTTTTAAAATCTTTATAGGGGTTTCAGACCTCAGGTGCACTGATCCTGGACCTGAGAAACATCTCGTAAAAATAAATCTGAAGTCTTTTTCCATTGTCAGCTGTCAGAGGCTTGTAGCTTGTAGCTTATCCACGACATGGCCGTGGGCTTGATGTCTGAGACACACCTGATTACAGTAGCAAAGTCTCAAAAGGTACATGACATACCTGAGCTGCAACTAAAGGTAATGTATTTCAGTGTAAGGGCAAGCACAGGTAAACACCGAACCTCACAACAACAAAAAAACAAATGTCAGGTCATCTTTCATTTTTCATGATTTTTTTTTCTCTCCAAGAGAAAAAAGGTGCTAGATAAATACCATCTCTTATTCACGCTGTACTAAGAAAGTGCAGTCTTGAATCTGGATTGCGAACGGTTTTTTTTTGTTGGTAGGATTTATTGTTTTTGTTGTTTTGTCTTTTGTTTTGTCTCAGTGCTGATAAAGCAATATTATCAAACTTGCTTCTTGAAAATTAAATTGTATATTTTTAAGTGAACTGTATATGTTTTTTTTTTTAACATCAAGGCTGCCAAAAATACACAAAACCCAAGATTGAAGGCCTTAAGTGCTGGTGATTTTTTTCTGTTAAGAAGAAAATTATAATAAAATAAAACAAAAACACAGCATTGTATTTGGTGATCTCTGATTGTACTGTTTGGAGCCACTTCCATCAGTCAAATCAGCTGTCAGCCTAAAGAAATCCAAAGGACTTAAAGATAATTAACATTCATATCATCCGTTAATTCATAAAAGCTATGTTCAGTGAAAGAATAATGAATGCAAACTTTACCATCTTGAACTGGGATCTATGGTGCTTAATGATCTTTTTCTCTTAACATGCAAAGTTGCTGCACTGTCCCACAGCCAAGGCAATGTCTATAACACATAACCATTCTTCTAACCTGGGAACATTTGTATACTTCGTACCTATATTGTCAGTTTGTAATTTTTTCTTTTATTTTCCACTCTGTTTTAAAAAAAAAAAGCTGTGTATGGCGTGTGCTTACTGTATCTCAGCTTCACTGTCAAACTTGAAACAATCATCATCTGCTTGCATTGAAGTATGTGTGTTTATACATTATGAAAAAAGGATCATGTTACAGTTGTTCAAATGTTCACAATGACCTCCAAACTTTTTGCGACCAGAGTCCAGCTAAAAGCTGAAATGACAATCATATAGCCACACTTTTAACAGCTGAGGATCGAAAAGTCAGTCGGCCATCATGACAGATCTTTACATTTTCTGAATAATCATCTCTTTGCAATGACAAAACCAAAGATTTCTCATACCAAATGGCAGTCTAATGGCACCGAAATAGAGTGATTCACATCATATTGTAAACTTTTGTCCTGTGACAATAATGGCAATAAAGTATTGTGGGTTATATTTTTAAGTCTTGTGTCCTCAGTTTTCTTCTTTCAGACAAGTGTAACAGAAGTGACACAAGGAGGATAAATTAGTAACCACTTTATTTAATCTCCAACATAAACAATGTGGACTTTCACAAAGTCCTTATATCTGAGGAAATTTAAGAAGGGTAATATGAAGAAGACATTTTTTTAATATACATTTTACAGATTCAACCAAGTGTATCAAAAACAAAGCCGATAGTCAGAAAAATATGCCTCCTTCTAAGACGTGGCTGCATGACGACCTCAGAAATCCACGATCTAAAGATTGTAACAGGAAGAGGACAGAAAGATAGCAAAAAGACTCCCAAACTCGAGTCAAGAATAGAAAAATAAAGCTTTTTGTTGCCTAAAGGTTGCTGTTTGCTTCATCAACACACTTGGCAGGCTGACTAAAGCCAAGGACACAACCAGTGAACATAAACTCTACTTGCAGTAATTAGAGATTAGATAGTGTAGCTTCATTATGGCTTTTCCATTATAGACACAGAAACACACAAATCTTACACACAGAACATTTTATGGAGACACAAACTACCTTCCCAGGCTTTTTAAAAATGGATCTGAAACTGCAGTGCTGCTCGAGGATCAGTGTCCACACAAAACATAGAACGATGGACAATGACTCATTAAAGGGCATCTGCTCAAGTGTAAACTCCTTAAGTTATGCCTGTTTTCTGCATGTCGACTGTTCTCATCAAAATGCAGCTTTGAGGTTAGACACTAAGCACCATAATCCCACAGTTTATCATTTTTATCTGACTTCAAAATCAGATGATCAGCTCAGGTGCTGCAATATCTTAAATGTGTATTCTAGGTTTGTTTTGTCATATTAGAATGAGACATCAAATGGAGTTTCAGCATTTTACTGCTTCTCTATTGATCAGCAAAAAAAAGATACAATTCCAGAGAGAAAATGTGTTAATAACAATATATTTGACAGGAGACAGCAGTGAATTATGGTCTCCAACCATTTCTTGTTAACATTACGGTTAGCTACTTGACATAACCTTTAGCTTATTAATAATACCATTAACTAGCTAAATTGGCCTTAGCAAGGAATGAGCCTTCCTTATTTCATTATGTAATGGACATGTAAGCCTTGAATGCTGAATGATGTTGAATAAAAAAGTCACTAGTGCTGTTAGCTAGTTAAAAATCTTTAGCAAGCTAATTTTACCATTAGCTGGCTTACATTTTCCTTAAAGGGGCTATATGTAACTTTTCAAATGTATAAATCGCTTTTTATCGCCCATTAATAAGCGAACGGTTGACTGATGTGAAAAAGTAGATGTTCACTGTCTATCTGTGTTGCCTGTATAAAAAGTTTCCTCGGGTGGTATTTTCCGCGAAAGCTCCAGGAAGTGACCTTTTATGCATGTTCTCAACGTCCTCCTCACTCCGCTCTGCTTACAGAGATTAACAATACAAACTCATCCACACACTTCTATCCGCCCTAGGAGCTCTCAAAGGCGGACAAACTCATCACACACTCCTGCTCTCAGCCAGTTCCTGCAGAGACTGTCGTTTGTAGGATGGAGAATGAATACAGACACACAGACTCCTTCACAGACTTTCACATGTGTATGACCACTTACCTCCTCTGTGAACATTATGTCAGTAAATATCCAGTGTTTCGCGGCCGATGATGATGCTAGTTTGTGTACGTACGAGCACGCGAGGGAGAGCAGGTTACTGGTGCAGTTCGCCTAACGGCCATGCGGTATCACTACAAACGCAGTATTTTTGAAAGTTACATATAGCCCCTTTAACAATGAATGCATTTTCTATCATATCATGTAGTCTTTACATAATCACTACTGGAGCCAATTAACATAATCTTAAAAATATAAAACATAACCTTTAACTATCCAGCTAACATTTCCTTTAGCAAGTTATGCAATGGTAATGTTAGCTGTGAGGTTTTTGGATGCTCATGTAAACTGTAGTAAAAGATTGCATTTGCTCAAAATGTGGCTGATTTTACCTCCAGCTTTTGACAATCCAACCTGGAACACAGCTGTTCTGATTTTATGACAGCATTTCACCTGCCAGCCATTTGTGATCTCAGAGGAAAATGGTCACCATGGGAATATGGTGAAAGGTGAGTGTTTGTGGTCCTTAAAAAACCATACCATGTTTAAATAATGACAAGCCTTAGTTTGTAAAATGTAGCCCTAAAGTGATGTTGTGATGTGTTAGCATTTTGGACTAAATAGGTCAGGTTAAGGCAGCTGTGCAGCTCATTATTTGTCATTCATGGTCCAACGTTTGCTCTGTCTGTATGGCTCACTGAGATTCCAGTTGTCTGTGTTGAACCAGACCTGTTACAAAGGGTCCTGCAGTCTCGTAAAAATAGTTATACTCCAACATTGGGGAAATACCCCTCTTTAAGTGCATTCACAAAATTTGTGTCCATTTTTACAACAAAATTAAACATTCTGTCTATGTGCAATAAAATATTCTTCATTCCACACCCTCTACAACAGTTACATCACTACACCAATGCATAATCAAACTGGCCCCTCTCCAGCCCCTCCTTGTGGTCAGTCCAGGATGATGCAGGCATGCGGCTGTAGGGGTCCAGCAGGATCCTGAAGCACCTGACCAGCAGGAAGACCAGGAAAAGCATGAGGAGGCCTACGAAGGCCAAGGCTGTGCGCTGCTCAGTGTCCACCCCAACCAAAGCCAGCGGGGGACTGCTGCTGCTGCCACCGCCAGGACTGCCAGGGAGCGAAGAGCTGGCCGGGGACAGCAGCAACTCGTAGTCAAGAGTGGGCACATCATTCATCCTCCACGGGGCCCGAAGGCAAGGCTTACTCACTGACTGGATGGTTGGTGTATTAGGAAGATGTGTAGAGAAGTCAGGAAAGGTGTTCATGAGGGATAAGAGGCCAAGCGGGATACCGGGATGTGATTACAAGGCTTTATGAAAAGGCAGTTTACAACTTATATTTAATTGAACCTGTTTGTTGGGTTAAGTTTATGTTAGCAGTAAGTAGTTAGCAGGTAGTAAACAAATAAAAAAGAACTATGGTGCAATGTCACATCACATCTTCCTCAGCTAGCCCGATTCTTTTGACAAATCTAGGTCAGTCAAAGTGAGACGACCTAGAAAAGCCCAGCTCTAATATGCTCTGACAATGTGACAGGCACGCACACACATCCACTTTTCAATTATTATGCACTACTTTTTTAGTGCTATGCCTTTGAAAGTAACTGACTAAACCGTCTAATTTAGCTCTCTGGTTTTTCCTATTTGAGCTTCTTCTAACCCCCAGCGGTTCTGTTTTTAAAGTATTTGTCGGGGCTGCTCCATGGCATCAGCTCTCCTTCTAACTTTCAAACAGAGCAGACAGGACGTGTCACTCCCTGCCTCCCACTAATGCAAACACATACACAGGTCCGACTCACAGTCAAGGTCAGTGTTCTCTATGGGAGACTATAGTGTGCAGATGGATTCAATTTGGTATAGCTGTTAAAGTCTCTAGGTGTGGCAACAGGGAGCCAAACCAAGGTGTTAAAAACACAAGACTTCCAAGCATCTACAGAAGGCCAACACCAGGTGTGTCTGTGTGAGTGTTTGTGTGTGGCTAATGGGATCAGAAGGTCAGCGAATCGATTGTCCTGAATATAAAACGGTGCTCATCACCGTAGCTGATGATGCTGGCTAAACGCAGCGAAATCCCTTCTCACTTGATAAGTAGGTTAGAGCTGTCAGAGGCTACTATAAAATTGGTATGAGGTAACAAATGAGTGTGAAGGATTTGACAAGGTGAGTTATCTTCATCCAAATTTGATCTTCTGGCTACTGCAAGAATCTGGTTGTGCTCCAGCAGTCGTCTGTAGACATGACAAAGGGGGTGGATACCAGACGTAATGTAGTCAGAGAGTCCCGGGGAGTGATTGCAGCTCCTTTTTAAAATCACCACCTGAAAGAACAAGAGGCACCTGGTTAGCATTACGTCCAAAAATGTCACCAATAAAGCTGTAATGAGGACATTTAAGTTGAACAAATCCCTTAAAATAGAACAATGGGCATTGCACAACTTTTCCATTTGCACTATTCTTGCTAATGTGAACCACAAGGAAAGATTAAGTCATTCCTTCCTCCTTTCGTCGTACATCGTGATCGTTCTCACCCTTTGTTCAATATGTAACCGTGACAGTGACATTAGCCATCTGCATCCCTTGTAATGACACCCAATTAGTAAGCTGATTATGGTGTCATTAAGGCTACATTAGCACTAATGAATAGACAATTATAAACACTGATACTGCATTACATCACCCTCATTTGTCAGCACACTGTTAGGAAGGCCATTTGTTCACTTGTTGACCCCCTTCATTCGCTTACATGACGGAGGGGATGTGTTGTGGAGCCTCATTAATAATCTAAAATGACATCTCCCGTGGTGGACCAGGTTTCAAATAATAGAGGAAACAGGACGCACAAAACTATTTACCCGCTCGCCCGTCTGAATGAAGTGGTGACAGGCTGTTTGCTTAGACCAACGTGATACAAAGAGATATGGTGTTCTAAGTATGGGGGGGATATGCTTTAAAAAGGCAAAAGGGAACGGATGAGGAAGGGAGAGAGATGCTTGTAACAGGAAAATAGATTATAGAAAGCCCCTCTGAGTTTTAGGTTAATTGTAAAGGAGACAAAATGAGAATGTGTTAATGGGGCTAGATTCAGAAAACTGATAAAATTAGAGTCCTTTGGTTTTTGTCTGTATGGAGGAATTATATGACAGAGCAATAAATAAAATGACTAAGTGCTTCAAGATGAAAATATGAATTTAGGAATGAGTTGAAACAGAGGAAAATGAAAGGATAAAGATTGATTGAAGAGTGTGTGATGGATGTATAGAACAGATGTTCCTGTCACGGACAGGCAAGAGAACAGAGGACAGAGCAGAGGTTTGCTGGCACAAACTGAACTTCCTCTGTATGGCCATGGCAAGAAGCATTTGTTATACTCCCTCGGTGTCTGTGTCTCTGCTGCGTTTGGTTCAAAGGTTTTCTATCTGCTACTTCATCAGCTGGTGTCTCCAGGGTGCTCAGTGCACCAGAGTCAGGCTGGCAGAAGAGTGACACAAAATGGGAATTGGCTCTCCCACTGTGAATGCATGTGCACCTTCTGTATTTATCTGTGCCTGTGTTGGACTCTGCCACACCTGTGACTGCTGTGAACTGCAATCCAAAAAAAGAGAGGAAACCTTGAAATGGTTTTCAAGGACACCATCAAGGACTGACACTGTCAGACGTTTGTGGCTTTACATCAGAAGTGCATTTAATCTCTTGTATACATGCTGTGTGACTTTCATCTACTGAGCACGTTATTACGTGATGTACAGAAAAGGATGAAACCACTGAACATCAGATATCCTCAGGGTCATAATACCAATCATTTCAGATAGGGACCCCAAATAGTTCTGAAAACCTTTATTATTATTAAGTCTGCAAATAAGCTGTTCAAAAGATGCCATATAGCCACGTCATCTCTCAACACCCAACACATCTAGCTGACTTTCTCTTTTGATTTCCAAAACCTTAACCTATCCTGCACCTCGTTATCAGGGTTAATTTCACGAGAACACACTGTTGAGGACAAGTTAGCATTCACTGCTAAGCAACCCAATATACACTATGCTGGATACTGGATGAACTCTGTTTACCAATATGTTGTTAATATATTTGACAATGGCTGACTAAAACAAGTATTGTACCATCTCACATTCAATGTACCCCTTTCTTTCTTGCAGCAGCTATCCTCCTCCCTAAGCACCAACCTTGACATTTTTGAAGGAGTCCTCGGGCTATGGAGTAACATGACTGTACTACTTTTACCCAAGCCTCCCTGTGAATAGTTGTTCCTAGATCCCACCCCATCAGACGTTATTTTTCCCATGAGAGATTAACACCCTAACCGTTTGGGAAATGGTGCTTTCTAAGTTCTTTTTAAAAACCTGGATGCCCTCCCTCTAAACTTCCAGCTGGACAGCCACAAGTCCTGAATGCAAGTAACATAGGCAATATCTGTATTTCTCCCTGCTTTTGATACGCAGCTTCTTACTTAAAGGAACTTCTAAAAATCTTTCCTGGGTTAGACACAAGCTGATCAAATAAGACTAAAAGTTTCCCATTATTATTCAAACTAATAATTCAGTGTCAGCACTTCTTCATTATCTTTCAACTATTCTTGATAGACAGAAGATGATAAATAGACTGAGGTAAAGGAGTGGACTCAAAAGTTCAAGAGCCGTGCTATGACAATATCCCATTACTTCTACGGTAGCACTGATTTCTTTAAGCAACGAAAATAAGACATTGTGTACGTAAAATATTTGATTCAATAATAAAGAACATTAAATAGAAAAGATGATATAAAGCTGGATTTCCTGCCTTCGCAACAAGTTTGTGAAGATT